TATATATATATGTAAAAGACAAAATGAAACAAAATACTCCCTCATATAAACAAACAAAACCCCCAAACAAAAAAAACTAACCCACCCAAACCAAAGTAATCCATGAAGTAGGAAACTCATGACACCAGGTAAAGCACATGGTCAGAGTACAACGAGTGACAGTGCTGTGCTGGGTGACATGTGAAGATGAAAGGTGTGTAGTTTAAAGATTTGTAAAATACCCCTCCCTTTAGTATGTTTAAATACAACCTTGGGCCATGGTTCTTCTCTAATCATCCCTTTCTGAAAACCTTTGTCAGGTTCCCTTCTTCTAGTTTAACTTGCAGCTATTGAAATGACTATTACTTCATAGTAACAGCTTTCCCAATTATTAATTCATTGAGTCTGGGTTTTTTTGGTTAGTTATTTTGTGGTTATTTAATTATTGTTTAATTTATTACTTAGCCACTGGTGTGCACTCTGCACATTTTTTTTCCTCATCCAATTTGAAGTCTTGGCATTTTCCTGCATGATGGACTCTTATAGAAACCTCCTATCTATTTCCCAGTGTTTGAAAGGGAAGATTTAATAGCATACTGAGGTTCTTCTGTTGTGTTCCCTTGGCAGAAAAGTACTGCTGGCAGATATTGTAAATGTGTCTTATAGAGGATATTGCGGTGGTGTTTCATCTCCCTCCCACTCCTTCTTGTTTTTAATTTCATGAACTGAACAATGGTCTTCAGCCATCTATTAGATTGATGCATATGTGGAATCTGATATTGCCACAGAAGGCTGAAGTCAGGGCTGAAATAACCTTTTGCACTCCCACACAGAAGATACGAAATCAAATACTTTGAGTTTGCAGCAGGAACAGCTTTTTTTTCCCTCTTGCCTTGGAGACAAACCAAATTCTTTAAGTGCAGTCTTACTTTGTAGGAGAAGTCTGGTAATCATGGGCAGAATGGGCAGTGCTGATGGGGAGTGTGGGCAAGAGAGAGTAAGCTTTCATGCAGATCTGTTGACTGCCTGAAACAAAGGGAGGAAACAAGACTTACCTTTATTGAAAGCTTTTCAAATGCTGGTTAGTATTCTTTACTCCTCCCACATGAGCATGAGGGGTATGCGTGCTTAACTGTGTATACATCAGAACAAATTATTTTCCTGAAAGTGTTAAGAACATTTTAAGTTACAGAAACTGTTCTTATCTTTCACTTGCTTTCTCCTTCTCTTCCTCTGAGCTCTTACAAGTAAAAGGATCTTTACCTGTAGTGGATGTAGTGGATGCTTTTACACCTAAAAAAGCCCATTTAAAGAGCAGTATGCTTAATTGCAGGTGACTTGTTTGTAAGTTGACTATTTCTGGGACAATATTTTCCACATAGAGCTGACGTATTAAAGGAATTGTGTGTTGTTTATTTTTTTATGTGTATAGGTAAAGATAGAGTTTTCAACACCCCTTTGTGTGAACAAGGAATCGTTGGCTTCGGTATTGGAATTGCTGTTACAGGTGCTACAGCCATTGCAGAAATTCAGTTTGCAGATTACATTTTTCCAGCATTTGATCAGGTTAGTACTAATATATTTGAGAGAGGTTAAAAGAAATCTTATGACTGTTTGAATTACTCTTCTGTTAGCATTAATACTTGGTTTGAATATGTCATTTTTTGCAAACACATCCACAGATATATTACTAATATTTATGCATGATTTAAGTAAACAGGAGTAAACTGCAAACAGTACCAGTACTGTACTATAAACAGTAAACTGTACCATGGCCAGTTTGAAGGCTTATTAAATAATGGAAATTAAAGATGTGGTTTGAAGCAAATGTCTCTCTGTTTGTTTTAATTTTTGGGTTTGTGGCTATGTTGGCTTAAATTCATCAGCTGTGTCTTCCCAACCCAGTCTCTCATTGCTCCTTGCAGCTGCAGCAGGCTGTGTGTCCACAGGGCAACCTACAGGCTTGAATTGGGATGATCAACAGTATGGAATGGGGAAACAACTGGGTTATAAGGCTACCCCTGAGGCCTATGCATCTAACTTGTACACAGCAAATTATTGCTTCATGTGCCTTGGAAAATGTTTGTCTCTGCACTGACTTTGCTTCTAATTTGGTCCTCTGAATCCCATGCATGGTGCAGATGGTATAGTTACATCCCATGTATTGAGGTGGCTTAATGACACATAACTAAAGGTATTGGACTCAATGCTCCTTTTGTATATAAATCTTCCCAGATTGTTAACGAAGCAGCAAAATATCGTTACCGCTCTGGAGATCTGTTTAATTGTGGAAACCTCACCATCCGAGCGCCCTGGGGCTGCGTGGGGCATGGTGCACTATATCACTCTCAAAGTCCAGAAGCCTTTTTTGCTCACTGTCCAGGAATAAAGGTACAGTAACTCCTCTTTTATGAGCATTAGTTTTGTTTGTTTGGTTGTTTTTTAATGCACCTGACTAACAGTGAGTCTGGGTGCAGGCAGGGGAAGAAGAGTGGATGTCAGTCCACAACAAAATACCTGAGTATGTTAATTAAAAACTATTAGAAGTTTTCAAGTTATAAAACTTTTACTGTATTAATTCTTTGAGAATTCATGTCTGTTATTGAAGCTATCTCTAGTAGACATAGCATTTTGTGTTTGTCTGCTCTTTGTACTGACAACATAACCTTTTACACTGTAAATAGTACAATATAGTACAGAAACTAAACCCACTAATAAGCAGTACTTTCCTTTATTTTTTCCCTTTCTGCGTCTGTCTTAAGTGCATTTTTGAATTCGTTTGTATGAATGACATTGCCCGGCAGTGGGCAGAAACTGAAACACAAGAGGTTCTGTCTGAACTTGAGGAAGCACTTGGCTCAACCTGCCAAGAGAGATTGTATAGTCTTCATTCCTGGAGGTATCCAGAAGTTGTCTGCACATGGTCCTAGACACGTGGCTCTGGATGGCTTTGCTCAAGCAAGGGTGTTGGACTAGATGACATCTGAAGGTCCCTGCCAACCTCATCTCCTTGGCAATTCTCTGATAGCTTTAATGCAAGCTTTCTGTGTAGATGGCATCCCTTGAGGCTAAGATTCTTAATGCTTAGATGGATAACTTTCCTAGAGAAGAGGAAGTGGCAGAATCTAGTCATCTTAGATTAAGAGAGCCCTGTTTGCCAACTCTCCATTTTTTTCTGAGTTTTGTCTATGAATTTGTACTTCTGGGTTAATTGGCATCCAGTCCATTGACAAATGACTCATAGCTGATTAATGTGGAAGACTTGAGCAGAGCTGGTATTTGTATGCTAAAGACACATGTTCATTGTTTCTGTTGTTTAAACTGTTGTCTTATGTATGATTTTGGTGTTCTAAAACTTCAGTATTCTCATTTACAGGGAGGCCATAGCCATTTTCCTACTTGTTTCTCTTTACTTAAACAAAACCCCCTTGTATTATTTGCAATTTATCTACCTGATATTTGAGGAATGGGATGTGGATTTGTATTTGGATGTTCCTAATGATCTTTGAGGTGTTCCTATTCTGAACTCAAAAGTATTTCTTGATACAGACAAAAGCAATCTATGAAGTCTTTTGACAGCTAATTGAAGTAAATTGTTTCTTGAACTTGTTTAAAGTAGTTTATTATCATATGAAAGCACAAGATAACTTAAATGATTAAAATACTGATACCAGGTCTAGCTAATTTCTGCTGATCTTGTTGGTTGATCTCAAATTTTGATCTACTGAGCCAAGTACTGAGATTTAATGGTCACTCTGGTGATTAAAACTCTTTATAGTTCACACCAGCCCAGTACTACCTAGACTAGTGCTTAGTCTTCTTAATAGGTTAGTAAGTCAGAATTTTATTCAGTCACTCCAAGTAATTTCATTTCTTTGCTCCCACCTTTGATCTTTCTTCTTGCTGGCTTTTTGTTTTATTTCACTTTTCCTTGGATAATATGCTAAAATGGGTTGCTACTATTAAGAGCTGTCACCTCAGATTAAGGTAAAGGGGTACATTAATTCTGTGGAGCTGGTGAGACAGTGTAAAAGTTTTTAGTGCACACAGAAGTATTTTAGGTCCTAGTCACCCTCTGAGCAGGTAGAAATTCAGATCTGAATTTATTACAACTGAGTTGGAAATTTATAACAAAATGTTGTCCTTTAACATGTGACTTTTCAGTATGTATTTTTCAGTTTGCCAGTCATGTCCTCAGTGTGACCTGGGTCTTTTTGCTGTCATCTTCTGTAGAGGTAGTGGCTCACAGCTTTGAGATAGTTTTCACTGCTAGGTGCTGGCCTTTTTTTTTAGCAAGTGCTACAAGTAAACTTCTAACTTCACAGGTATGAAAATGTTTCCTAGTAGACTTCATTCTGCATGTGCCAGCTCTTTGATGTGTCTGGGATGTAAACTAGTTTGTTCTTCTGATTTGAGGGAATTGAGCTCTTGGGTTCTAATTGGTCAGGCATTGGAATAGGTTGCCCAGGGAGGTGGTGGAGTCCCATTGCCTGGAAGTGTTTAAGAGGTGTCTGGATCTGACGCTGGTTTAGGGATTACATCAGAGTGGCAGCTAAAGGTTGGACTCGGTGATCGTAGAGATTGATATTCTATGATTCTATTTTCATGCAAACTGTGATAATTTGGTAATTTTCTTTTCATAATTAACATTCTCTTATCCAAAATTAACTCTTCTGTTGCAATAAATGATACTTTTTCCTTCAAAGTATTCAGATTACATCTGTAGGCCTTGCTTAGTTTTCTTTGCTTGGTAGTAGTTTAAGGTATTTATTGGTATCTGTTCATTTCCAAAATGAACAAGTTTCAGGCTTCCATCATAAGCAAAGGAAGTCAACTTAAGTAGCTGTTTCTTTTTTCAGTCTTCAAAATTTGCTGGACTAAGTCTGAATACTTCCAGGTCTGTTCTGATGAATCTTTACCCAAGCAGTTGAGCATCAGCTGAGTTTT